CCTGCCCTGTAGCAGGGCCCAGCTCTGATACTCCTTTTTCATGAAGCTTCCTTGATTTCTTTCAATCTGGAGAGCCAACTCCCATAGCTCTTTGTTTCTTTGAACCTCCCATTTTACAGTTCCACCCTCTGCTTTGGATTACAGCTATTTGTATTCCCGTCTTTTCTTCCAACCTCCATTCTTGCAAGTGAAGGTCTTTGTTTTTAATCTTTTAAAATGTCTAGCACATGGCAGGTACTAAATAATTCTTTGTAGAATAAATAATCAAGTTCTTCCTTGTTAGTTTAGCTCGTTTTATGGTAGTTCATTTGACATGTTTTATTTGGCATTTTAGCGTATAGGGTTTTCCCGAAAATTAACTGACCTGTACTATTTCCCCTATAACACTGCCTACCACATTGAATCTAAGGTCTCGAAGAAACAAAAAAACAGATGCTAGTAGTTTTAATGATACACTTTCTTTAATAAAGGGAATAGTTCTAATTACTTTTTAAAATGCAAAAAGATTGATTTTATTGGTAAATAGATAGTTAAGTACTTTCTCAAGGGACATTGCTACTTTATGAGTTGGCATGTTTGGAATGTTCTTTCCATACAAAGTTAACACATTTTAATGTCAAAATTCAACATCCTAGCCACCTTTCTAAAGTCCAAATCAGAAATAAGGTAAAAACCACAAATGAGTGCATAGTGAATTTTAGAATTTCTCAGGAATACTTTGTTACATTTTTGCTTTTAAAGCAATAAGTTATTTCACTCTTTATCTTTTTTGTTTGGTCGTGAGAGTTGAGGATTTGGGAAAGTGAAGGGTTTTAGTAACTAATGGAAGAAAAAATTCCACGATGTCATTTCTTGCCAAAGATATTGTTCTGTCAGTGGAAACTACCAGAGTGGCCTTGAGAGAAGAACTTAGATACTGATGAATTTTTATGTGGAGGTCAGTATGGTAATTTGGGCAACTCTTTCTACTTCTGGCAATTCTTGTCAAGAGGTTTCTTTGGTCACTGCCAGTTTAGGGCACAGCAGCACTGTAGGAGGGGAAGCGGAAAGCAAGCCATTAATGCTAGACAAACATATGTCTGCTGATTTGTCATGGGGGTATAAAGTAAGTCAGCTTGGCCAACCAAGTCTCTGAGAAGTAGTACAAGAACCGTTGTTGATTGAGCTGGATGTGTATTGCCCAGTTCATGGGCTTTCTGGCTGTTGTCCTTGTTTCTTTGACTCCTCAATTAAGGAGATTCCTAGAAAATAAAGTCAGGTTGATCTTGTTGCTATTTAACAGTGTCTCAGTTTCACTTGAAGATTTGCCCAGGACTTGGAAGCTGTTGACGCTGCCTCAGATACAGTACTGAGGATAGCAAAGTGCCTCTACCAGGAATACCACAGGGAATTGGACAGATGCCAAATGTGAGTGAGTGGTGCTTGCCACTCTGTCTTTATTCCACAATCTTCCACGCCTTTTTCCCCAAACAACAATCGGTAGAAGCTAAGAACCCTTGCTGCACTTCTTCCCCTGCCCCAGAACTCGAAGGGAAAGTGGGTCATAGCTAGAAGAGTTCTTTCGATCTTGGCATCCAGGGAGGTGTCACTTAGCTGGGTCCCAAGTGTTAATTGACGCTGTTAACTTTCTGCAGTGATGCCAGGAAATAGTAATGGGGGAAAGACACTCTGCTTATCTTGTACTCGCAGGTTTTATTTAGAGAACCGTGTGTTTCTTTAGCCAAAGAGCACTAAAGTAACACTGCACTATTTAGTGTACTTGGAAAAGTGAATGAGTTTTTAGAAGGTCTCCTGATATCTTGTAGAAATTGTTGTATACCTAAAAAGCAGAGTTTTCTTAGCTACTCCTCAAAAGGATCAGACCTAATGTATTATGCTACTATATTTCTCATGAACTAAGTAGATATTTCCTATTCATAGAAATTTATGCAGTATTGTTATACTCCTTCTCTGAGTTATTAAAAGCAGTATGATTTCTTTGTGTATAATTTTTCACTTCTAATAAAATTATAATGTTAACTTAGTGTAAGTATGTGTGTATTATAATCTGTGGTTATATAATTAAATAGGAATACTTATAAGCATTTCATATCTACTATGGCTTTTACACCTACCTGTGTGACTTTTGGTAAGTTATTTAACTTCTCTATACGTAGTTTCCCATTTGTAAAGTGCTGGTTATTAATACTTATCTCCTAGGATATTATAAGGATTAAATGAGCTAAAACATGTAATATACTTAGAATCATGCCTGAAACAGTGCTCAATAATAATTATTTTTACTTCATATTATCGAATTTTGAATTTTTATTTGTATAGTTTCTTAATTTATAACTACCCAACTATATTAGTTGGATTTACCTATTCTCAGTTGTTAAAAAATAAAGGACTTAAAATATGTTATGCTTTTCTCCTTCATTGGGATTTTTTTTCAACTTGACAGTCAGAAAACAACACAAGAAGTCCTTGAGCAAACCAAATAAGAGCAATGATAAGTCAATGAAGATCTAAAAAGATATTTCTGAAAAGTTATTCAAGAAGTTAGGTATTGTGTATAGTCAGTACAAGGCTATAGACCTTGGGTGCTCTGAGTTATATGCTAGAGAAATCACCAATATAGCTTTAGTTGTAATGTAGAACCAAAACCTATCCCTAGATTGCAATACTACCAAGGCAATATATTATTTTCCTAATTGCCTCCCAACCCACAAGAAGTAACACAGTAGAATCAAGGAACACTGAAAAACAGACTATGACAGAAATCTATCAAAAAGCTCCAGCTCAGATGGGACAGCAAGTACATGAGTATGATGTTTAACTCACTGCATGACCCTTGACACTGTGATTGCATCAGTCACAATGTTTGGCATGAACAACTTCATCAGCATAATTTATGAGCTTCGGATAAAGTGGAATCATCCCCCACCAAGATCTGGAAGTGATACTGGCATTGAAGCGGTACTCACCACTGATAGTTCTGCTGAACCAGGTTTGGCTGGATGTCTGAGGACAGCAAAGCAATATGTGCCTGGTGAGCTAGAGTGGAACAAGCTTGGAAGTCAGTAGAAACACTCCAACAACACACAAAAATCAGCCTTAGATGGCTTAGTCTAATTGTGGTATATTGGAAAAGTGCTTCATCTCTAGTAGTTGGCAGTGAAATGGTTATATTTAAGTAAAGGGCAGAAACAGGAATGATAATAACCAAGGCTTCGGGAAATCAACATTATTATAATTAGGACTTTTTTATTATCTTCATATTCTCCACTCATGATTTTACCTAAAGAGTCACATATTCTCCCTACTGCCTTCCTGTCTGTCTCATCTCTTTTCTGTTCTATGCAAACAAACATGTAAGAAATAGCTATCACAGAAATCCTCCCCATTTGGAATTTTTATCATCATGCCTCTGCTTGAGAATCTCATCTCAATGGTGGTCTACTCCACATAGCCACACATTTAGTTTCCTTGGCCTCCTGTTGAAGACCTTCTACCAAGAGCCCGATGCAAGCCGCTGTCCAGCCAGATCCCTCTGTTCTGGCACTCCAGCCTCAGTCCTTTCTTATGCCTGCATCCTTCCACCAGAAAGGTACTTTCTCTACCAATTTATATGGATCCCTTTCTTCAAATCTCAAATAAAAAGTTACCAATTTTAGGAAATCTTCATTAACATTACTCCTCTCTGGTCCTTTTTTTGGTTATTCTGTATCTCCCATAACATGCATGCTTTGCTGTTTTAGCTCACCATTGCACATGGAGAGCTCTGAATCACTCTTGTTTTCTCACGTACGTGCGAAGCCTCGATGGCCCTAAAGACAGAGAACCTGTTCTGTCCACTGTCGCTTCTGCCTACACACACACCCACACACACACACTCACATTCACACACACACCTATCAGGAAAATGGTTGGAAAAGTTCATATAATTATCTTCAAACACACACAAGTATATTAAAGAAAACTGATGTAAAAAGTTATTGTTTCTTTAGAAATCCTCTAACAAAAACTCGTCTTGTTTTACCATCCATTTCACTTTTATACCTAAGCCAATATACCATATGTTTTGTTTTATTTCTTTTTCCCAAATGCATGTTTATATTCTTTCCGAGTCTATTTAGGGTAAAATTCAAGTGAATATACTCAGTTTCTTTTGTTGATGTATACATTAGTACTAGATGCCAAAAAGATAAAAAGCCTTATTGTTTAGGCAGAGAGGAATTTTCCAAATGTCAGTAAATTGACTAAATATTTTCTAGGTTTGTTGTAATTTGTTTTGTGTTTTGTCTTGCTCTTTTTTCTTCCTTTTGATCTAGTATTGTAGATATAGTTCTACATATGCTTTGTGTATAAATAAATTTAACACTAAGTGCTTTGACTTCAGAATCACATCTGAGATCAGAAACAAGGATTGTCCCTAACCTTTCCTGTGGCTTACATTATCTGTTCTTGGAACTGGAGTCATCAAAATGACGCATGAAGTGCATGTAGATGTTTCCAAAATGCAGTGTCATGTCCACTCAATAGTATCTATTAACACATTGTTTTGTCACACCAGTTGGTCTCCGAGCAGAGCCCAGAAGAGCAGACAGGGTTTTAGCTAAAGGGAAATGGTTGTGGAAAGTCATGGCCATGTGGTTTGGTAGGACACTCAAAGCCACTGATGCAAGCCAAATGTTTGAAACATAACCCCAGTGGGCAGTGGTGGGAGGGCACTAATGACGAAGCTCACCTTCATCACAATTTTCCCTGACCCTCTTGTCCACTTACTTAATGTCTGGGTTTTTTAAAGATGCAGGTCCTCTGTGTTGCATAGAAGGTTTTGACGTGCTATAACCTCTTAAATACTGGTCTACCACTTCATTGAATGCCAAAAACCTAGTCAAGTGCTGACTTGTAAATGTCTGTGGCGCCTATGATTGAATGTATTTTTTTCCTGCATGATCATCCATTGTGGTGTTTGTAAGTAGCAAAAAATGAGCCTGATTTGTTCTCCTTTGTAGAGCCAGGCCGAGGCCCACTACAAAGGAAGTAAACATGCCAAGAAGGTCAAAGCACTAGAGGCAACGAAAAATAAACCCAAAATGGTTTCTTCCAAGGACAGCGCAAAGGCTAATCCCAGCTGCTCCATCACTCCAATCACAGGCAACAACTCTGACAAATCAGGTCAATGACACTTTTTGTTCTTTACATTCTTTGTGTTTCTCCTGTTCCCCCGTCGCAACCCCATTTTTCTCCCCTCAGTTGTTGCATGTTACTTTCCATGATTTATTTTTGTAATATGAATATGTTTCCTTCACAAAAAGGATTATGTGTTTGCACGGAATCTAAGCATTTGATATGTTGCCATTCCATGTTGTTAAATATATACATCTAAGTATATATGTGTGTGTAAATATATATATATATATGAAAGTATATATGCATGGAAATAAGTAGAAGCTGCTTGGCCACAATGTGTTTAGACAAAAATCAGGAAATGGATCTGAAATACTGAGTTAATTATTATTTCTTTCTATTCCTTTTATGTTTGGTTTTTACTATAGACTTTTTAAGTAAAGGAATTCTTAAACTTGTTTACTAATAGATATTTTTATGTTCTCTTACCCCAGTGAAGGAAGGGCAAAAGGGTGAAGTTTTCTGAGAGAGTGGCATTAGTAAATAAATCTGGAAGTGTGCTTAGTAATAAAAGATTTTGATTTTTGAGGATCTTTGTGGATTTCCCCTCAGAGTTACAAAGGAACTTAAAGATTTTAAAGGAACTATTTACAAAGTTATGCATTGATTAACAGAAGAACTTTATATATAAATGGAAATGGGTTACTACTGGAAGTGCCTCTTAAGAAGAATGTATATTTCATAGTCCCAGTGAATCAGCGTATTTCTGAGTAAGTTCATTCAGTGGAAAGAGAAAAAATTCATTTTTGCAGCATGGATACCATGAAATTGGATGGTTAATAGACTTTCACACTCTCACATCTGTCCCTCAGGGCCCATGATGGATATGTCATCTTGTTTCTGTGGCTAATTAAGAAATAGTATCTTATTAAGGAACAGTGTCTGTTAAAAGAGACTAAGAGAATATGTCCCTTTCTCTTAATGTTTGACTTTCTCTATAGGGACCTCTCTATTGTGGGAAACACACACATTTCTAATGCTCTTTTGCTCTTCAAATCATTGTAGAATTTGAGGAGGAGGCTTAAGAATGCTTTCCCATGGCTTCCCAGGGCTTTCGGAAAAGAGCAAATTCATTGCAGTAAGAGGAAGGTTCAGAAAACCTGTTCAGTCAAAGAGACTATGTAAAAAGAGACCATTATTGATTAGGTCCTATAGATGCTCATTCCAAAAGCTCTGCAGCCTAGAAAGAATGAGCTAACCCAAATTTGATAATAAGGATTTTTTGTTCTTTGTGTGATAGGATCGCTAAATCATGTTGTCTGATAAATAGATACAGTAATAAATACTGGATTATTAAATAGCACTTCTCCCCTTCTAAAGAACAAAGGCTTTTTACTTCTATTATCTAATTACTCTTTAACCAATATTTATCAGATATAGTACCAAGTATTACCTCTATTTTACAAAATTGCAACCTGTGTAAGGTATGCATTGTGGCAGTTACTTCCTGGAGTTTATCCAGTGTTTGGAAGAGCAGTAACTATCATCTTCTAACTTCCTGCCTGGTTTCATTTTCTACAGGATATCATTGCCTCTATAAAATAATACTCTACCAAAGCTTTTATAACCTGAATTATGCTCTTTATCTCTAGCAGAATGTACAAGTAAAATGTTGAAACAATGGAAGTTAGTATCACTCTATTCTGTCGGCTTATTTTGTGACTTGAGCCAATAGAACAGTTGATAGGTACTGTAAGTGTTCCAACATTGCTACTGAGTGAGCTCAATGCTCCACCGAAGTTATATTATTATTTGGGAATTGAGTTTTCTCTAGGGATAGTAGTAAAAGCAGTGAGCAGAAAAAAGTATCAATAACAGAAATAGAGAAGGATCAATAAGATAAGACTCAATTAAAAAAAAACAGAAGATAATTAAAGGGAGAAGGAAAAGTGTGGAAGAAGAGAAAAGAAAGTAAGGGGAAAAAGTCAAAGATTAGGAGGTAGAATCAAGAAAAGAGCAATATGGAAATAGGAAATCCAAATAAAGGATCCTGGGTTATAGTCACAGCATGGCTTATACCTAGGGGTGCCCAATTTCAACGAGTATATGTTGAAATAAAATTTAACAATCCGAGGTATTTATTTAAACACTTAAATGTTAGCGGATGCTCAGTAAAACAAAAACATTTCGTAAGCAGTTGTGTTTGTCCACTGAACATTTGGAACATGCCAGGGTCAAGCATAGTAGTGATATAAACAAGAAATGGGAACTAAGATCTAGAACCATGAGGGAGAGGAAAACAAATCGCATCCACAGCATCTCTTCTTCAGTAGATATGTGGGAGGTAGTCTTTAATCCTGCATTCTCTGCTTCCTCTGCCATTTCCCTACACACCCCCACAGTACCTACTCTAACAGTATCAACCTCACTCACCATGTGACTATACAGATTTAGACTAGAAGTGATGGAAACCACCTGTATTTTGGGATTACCTCATTTTTCATGTTTCCTGATTCAAAATCTGTATAAATTATCTGGTAATTCGTTGGTTGGGTCATTCAAATTGCTTATTTGATTCCTCCATGTTTTCTATAAGTATTAATACTAATGAAATATTTTATTTCTTCTATTATATTTGCAAAAGCAATGCCAAAGGTGTTGGAAGATGGCTTGATTTAAAAATAAAGTGGGTTGTATTTGCTAAATAGATGTATGTTCTTTTGTCACCTTCAGCTGAATGCCAGATTGTAAGCAAGAATTCCCACATGTGTTCTATAGAATTTTCAAGTTTGAAAATTAGAAGTTTTGCCCAGGTGGAAAATCTGGTCTAAAAAATGTAATATATAATGTATTGCTACCACCTATTTCTAAATCCTTGAAAAGCTCCTACAGCTTTGTCAGAGTCCTAGATTTTTGTTGCTATCTGGCTTTCATTTTGTTTAAAATCCTGTTTTAGAAAAACAGAAGACACAAAAACCAGTGCTTCATAAAAGGTCTAGGTGAACCATAGAGAGGAAAGGGAGTGGGAAGGAGAAACGGTGATTGTGACACTTAATCAACTGAAATGTTTTATTTCAGACAACATCGCCTCTAAATAGTCAGCCAAAAATTAGAATAACAGTCACAGTAAAATTCATGGTTGCCTGGAAAATCTCATGAGACTGAAATTCCCTAGCATTTGTCTTTTTCTTCTGAATGAAGAGTTCCTGTCAAGTGGGCTTACATAGTATCTATGTGATTCTTAGATACTTGAATGAAAAGTGAAAATGTTACTCACTTGATGTCTCAGCTGCCAGATTTCAAATATCCAGGCATTCACAACATCCATAGGATTGACTAATTCAATTTCTATCCTCATGTTTTAGCATCAATAGCTTGGCAACAGAGTGTTGTTCAATGAGAGCAAATTTTGAGGAAGAAGAAATAACTAAGTGTTAAGGGAGGGAGTTTCTGGGAGAGTAGCACCCTGGGATTTACCGAACATCAGTCAAGGCAAGGTGTGAATTCAGAGTATCTGACAAGGAACAGGGAACCCACAGATGACCTCTCTGTGCTCCTCGAGAGCACACATTATTTATTCAAAGAAGGGATCTAACAATCTTCCAAAAGCTAGGGAAGCCTTCTTACCTGCTATTTTGGCACTTTGGGTAACCATTTCTCACTTTTATATTATATTTGGAGACATAATTTGGCCTATGTTGCATCTGAATCTTTATAATTCAAAGAGATTTGTTATAATGGATCTATCATGTATAAAAATTTCAGGGTATTATGGAAAGCTTTCCTTTTTTTCTCTCAGGTAAGTAAACAAAATAAGTTTGAACTACAATAGCAGAGATTTTATTTATTATAAGAAGTTCTAACTATATCATTTTAAAAAGTTAAATATATTTTATTAAAGGCAGTTAAGTAACAATAGCTGTCCCATTCACTTTTTAGATGTTGAGGTAGAATTAAATGTAAAAGCCAAAGAAATGGCTTTATGGTCTCCTAGGATATGTCCCAACTTTTAATGATACATCAATGGAAGTCTGAAACATAGTGAGAGGGAGGGAAAATGTGCTTTGGGAGAATTGGGGTCAAAACACAGCAAGCATTAGGTAGCTTCAGGAAGATGTCTAGAACATATTGGCCAGACACTCTACCCAAATTTCCCCATGGAGTTCAAATGTCATAATGCCACATGACAACACACTTCTCTGTCATAATACATCCCATACATCAAACTGAAGGCTCTTTTGTGACAGTCTTTAACAACTCATAATAGGTTCAAAAAATATAGAATGTTTAAAAAAATATTTTTTCTTAAAAATAATAAAATATTAAGATAATCAACCTAATGATAAACTATCATGATGGTCAACCTAATAGTCCATATGTCTGGGTTTTAGCACTGGATTTTTTAAAAAAATTAATTGCATATCAAGATGGAGAAAAATACATTTCTAGTTTAAAGTACATAAAGCTATTTAAACAGCCTTTAATCAGTTGCTGTCTAAACAGACAAAAGCATATGGAATGATTCAAAATGCCATAGGTATAAATGCAATTAAGAACAAAGATGATGGACCCAGCATGTAAGCTTAAAATAAGACAATAGGAACACCTTAAATTTGTTCAGTTTATAAGAGCTAGTCACATACATGTTTTCATATGACTCTCTCAACCCTGTGATGAGTAAGGCTGAAATTAATATCTTTTATTATTTTTATTTATTTTTATTCATCTTTTATTCATTCATTCAACAAACTTGATATCCATTTATTCACTCAAATACTTATTATGCATACTAAATAATGTATCTGTATGTTTTGCCAGACTCTGGGGTGCAACAATGAGCAGAAAGACATTTTCTTGCCCTCAAAGAACTTCCAACTTAGTGGTGTTTTTTGTTTTGTTTTACCATGTTGGATATTAGGAATATAAAGAAAAATACTATATAGTCACCACCTTCAAGCTGCTCCCTCAAATATGGTAACAATGAAGAACCTGGGTTTTGGAAACGTTGAGCGGCTTATGTAAAGTCACACAACTCAAATCCCGATAGA